GGCCCCCCTTCATATTTCGGTAATGGGGCCCTTTAATATCATATATTATTAAATTCTTTTTCATGTGGGGCCCCTTTTTAAAATTTTCCGGTAGGCCAAAAAAAGCCTATCCGCCCATGAATGTGCCTATCTATTATAATAAAATGATCACTCTGTATTTATATAATAAAATTAAATATAATGATTAATAAGTAGCATATTATAACTAATTGTTAATTCATTAGTATAACATGTGCATATTGTTCAAATATAATCAATACAATTTATAGAATAATATGTTTTGTTTAAATGTTTACCTGAATACATATCCATCATTTAAATATTTTACAATTGCTTTTTTTAACTTTAACATATCAGTTGTTTGATCCCCATCTTTACTATCTGAAATATTAATGTTATTTTAATTTACTTTTTTAACTCACTGGTAAGTGATATTATAACTAATTGTATATTGTTATAACCATTCAAGCTGCTCCGCTTAAAATCTTTTAAAGACCTTTCATAGCGATCTTGTCTACTAATATCCATATAAAACGAAGAGTTTTCACTGAATAAATGATCATTCAAAAAATAATTATAATTCCTTATTAGTTTTACATAAAATGGTGGTATAGTGGATCCCCTAGGAATGCCATTGATATTATCTATGAACAAAAAATTAAATAGTTTGGGATGGCATTTATTTCAGTAAAATATAACAATCATACCTAGGTAAGAGGAATATTTTTTCCATGATAGGTATGTGGGAAAAATTCGTATGAACCCTCTGCTCCTTTGATTTTGATCAATTGTGTTTTTCAATAATCGTTTTTCATCACTACTAAGACTATAAGTATTAATATTTGAATTTCTGTTCCTTGGAATATCAGATTTTGGTCTTCGAACATTTCTACAAAAATCATCGTTACATTACATAATAGCAAATATTTATAATTAAAAACCAAGGAACTTAAATATTACCTGTTAAAATTGAAGACAGTAGGATCAACAATTGGTATTCCAATTAAAGTAAATAAATCACATAGCATTGAACTCTTTATACGAGAATCAAGTCCAGAATCTATTCCTAATGATGGAGATAGGTTAACTTCAAGTAACCATGGTTTTAACTTATCGTCCACCAAAATATCAAACCCGTATAATTCTATAATAATATTAGAAGAGAATGTAAAAAGTAAGTCAATTACAATGTAAAATAGGAAATCTATTTAGAGGAGAATATAGACTAAATTAATTTCAACCAATAATTTTTTGATCCACCATACACAATGTCTTATGATGACATCATGAATCATGATTAGGTATTAATTATTATTATATTACTCAACACATTTTTACAAGCCTCCCATCAATACTCTAAAAACTATCATAACTAATTGAATAGCTAAGGCAGTTTATAAATTATACATAGTTAAGAATAGAGACATTCTTTATAGATTTACTTTGAAAAATAAACCATAGGTAAACTCATATTTTTATCCTCAGTTAAGCAACTAAAAATACTTAAATAATAAAAACCGTGGTTCTCAAAACAAAAATGTAAAATATTAACAATTTGAAAAAACATAATAACAAAAACAACACAAKTAATATATATTATATATTATACAGGTAGGTACTAAAATATATATAATATACAATATTTATTATACAAATTCCCAATATCGTAACCGGAGTTGCTTTGTATAGTGGGAGGTGGCTGGTGGGCTAAATCCTACTAAAAAAATCTCCATAAAACTTTCCTTCACTTCCACTTTTTATTAAATCATTGTTTTAATATAATATTATGATATAGGCTAAAATAAATACTGTCAATATGGGTCCCTGCCTCTACAATGTCTTCATGTACCTACATCAATAGGTAAACAACTCTGACTTTAACGAGTTAAAAATTCAGAATTTTATTTTAGCCCCTCAGTTTTTAGTCAGTTCTAGAATCATTATCAGCCATAAAAAAAATGAATTACCAAAACAGTTTTGATTGTGAGGTACAAAGCAATTTATTGCTGGTAACATTTGTGCAGTTGCACTCATTATTGTTTTAATTACAATGTCTTCAATCTCAGTCATTAAAGTTTCAGTATTAATTAGATACTCTTCTCTAAGATGGTTCAAAAGAGCGCTCATAGACCACTTATGGCCAACATTTTCTCGTTCAGGATCCGAGTTCCTAAATCATAATAGTTAGTAAAAGTAGATACCTTATGATATAATATTATTATTAAAATAATTACTTAATAGTGTTATGTGATTCTTTTAAAGATAAACCCTCATTTTCTCGAAAAGTGTTGTTTTARAATTTTAGMGGAGAACTTATCTAGTATTTAGTATAGTAAGCACAGGTGGAAATTTTTTTTATTACAAATAAACAATCTATACAAGTATGTACAATTAAGCTTATGTGCTAAGAGAAGACAGGACGTGAGAAATTGATTAAAAAGCCGCATATAGGCAACACCTAGCATGAATTATTATTTATTTATATATATATTATATAATTTAATTTAATTTAATTTTCGTGGAATTTATAGGTTGAATCACGCCCGTCCAATGGGGAATTTCATTTTTTCTTAGATTAAGGCAACCTTTTAAACTGAATAGAATTATTATTTACGCTGACTCCGGAATCCGGATTTACATAATACGTATGCATATTAGAGGTGAGACTTGGTGGGTGTACATTTAAATGAATTATGAATTAATTAAAATAGTTCATCCAGTTCGTGTAATATTGTGATAACTGTTTAATATTGGAAACGTTTAGTAGATTTTCATGGACGGATAAAACAACTTTGAAGTCAGTAGGTGCTGATCAACGACAAATGACAATAATAGATAATAATAATATACTATTTCGGAATACGCGCCGTAATATTTTGTTCTGCATCGTTTTCGGTCGGATTCAATATTCATTGTTTTATATTTGAGTGGTTTTGATCCAACACATATTCCCATCAGAATGCCATGACGAAAAATCTTAATAATTTTACACATTTTTAAATGAGAATGTCCAATGGACTATTATACCGGAACGGCCGAGGCGGTGACGAAAAACGCTGCGTTTATATTATATTAACGTAAAATTACATATTATATTTAGGAGGCGGACTGGCGGAATACGYCGTCGGAGCCCCACACAGAAAGCTGATGTACGCGTGCAAAATAATTATACGCCGTGTATTTTAATATTTATAATTTGTATACTATTATTTTATACTATAATTTATAATTTCAGTTCTCATCCATATCTCGCACTTATCGATGGCTATTTTTAATTTACTTGTTTGTAGTGTTTGTCATCCGTTGATCTTTTCATAACTATCATAATAAATTATTCATATAATGCACATTGAGTATACTTAAATTGACTAGAGGTTACAAGGAAAAGAACAACGTCCTTTTTAAATTTAATTATAATATACGGTTTTTCGTTATTATTATAATTTGTTTACCCGCCTATGGTTTATCTACGCAATACGCTTCATCACCGTTAACTTACTATTGCGACTTATTATTACTTAAAATGTTGATAAWTGTATAATATTATTTTGAACTTTAACGATTGTTTAATCGTTTAATGTGAATTTAAAAATAAAATATGTTGTCAAAAAAAAAAAAGGAGCGACATAAATCTAAAATGGTAAAAATAGCTAATAATTGAATTTTTTGTTATAAAATGTTGATTTGTTATGTTTTCAAAATATTTCCAAAAACTAAGAAAATGAGATTTTACTTTCGAACAAATCACCTTGAATAATATAATGTATAATAGATTAATACTGTAAATCATAATATACAAATTACAATTTATATTTTACATTAGAGTTAAAATGTGTAACATTTAATTTGACTAATAATAATTTATTATTGTCCACCAAAACACCATTACGTCGTAGTCGTCGTACCCACATGTGTTGAAAATAATATATCYGAGTTCGGTAWATTTGTGGTTAATATTAGATCAAATTAACTTATGGCTTATGAGTTATGACTTAGACGTAATTACCGAATTTATAGGGAAAATATTGACTKTAGTCATGTGCAGTCGTGTGGAAGGTTTATTTAATGTACCTCTATTTATTTTGAGCTGGTATTCCGCGAATATTTGTCAATCGTCGTAATAATTTATTGTATTTTGTATGGGAAGCATATTGTTTATTTTTACTTGCCRAGTGACTCGTGGTTTATTTAATTATATCAAATCAAAGAAATTAAACGAGGTATACGAGTGGCGTAGGATTCTGAGATAATATAAAATATACTTGACAATCCCTAATTATGATTTATGATGTCGCCGGAGTTGCATCCTAGCTACACGAGTCGTGGCTTTCAACGAGAGTGACAAAGACACATGCAGACACGACGTCCTCTCAACAACAAAACATAAAATAATTAATTTGAACCTTAAAATTAAAAGGAGCAATAATGCTCTTGATAAAAATATTTAATACAGCAAGTGACTTACCTAATATAGCTTGGACTGCTTTTGTTGACACTATAGTTGCAAAGATGCATTCGTCGATTATTAATTCGACTTCTATCACATACATATTTAACAGTTGCAAATCTAACTAAACCTTCTTCGTACAGGTATACAACGAGTGGATTGAATGATGTAACTAATACGTACAAACGTAAATCCCACTTATATCCATTCACCAACAGCGGATTGTCAATATACTTGGCAACAACGACATTTTCCTTCAACACCGATTGAGTGTCCTTAAATGACTGCGAACAGTATCAAAATATTATTATTTAGGCGTGTAATAACAAAACTAATAAAACAGCAACGGTTTTTATAAATTACATAATCAATTATTGTTATTCCTCTTCCGCGAGATAAATCGAAAGGCTTTACAATCCATAAACCTCGATGTCGATATTGGTTCGAAATAAATCTATTGTAATCTTTCGGCATGATGTATGTTTCAGGAACAAAMGAGAACTTTTTAATTCCATTGCGATGGCTCATAGTCTCGATATTTTTGTACAATTTATCTTTTCGAGTCAATTCACACGATCTAATAGAAATATTTTTGAATTATAATATTAATTCAGTATAGATTAGAATTTTGATTAATTCAATTATAGTTAAAAACACATTTTATTGTTTTACAGTATGAATATTATTTTATTTAAATGCGTGATATTCGCATTTGTTGTATCCGTCTTACAAGTGCGTAACATGGCAAAAACTGTTTCGCGCGGGAAAGCACCGAAAAGTCTACAGTTATAACTAAGAAACCCAATTTTCACCGTGAAAAAGGAGAATTTCAATCATGTCACAGCGTTTTTAATTTTCCGATAAGACCGATTTATYAAAAGTTATTGAAGTTTGAAAAACTTAAAAATATCAGATTTTTAAAAGTATTATAACTTTTTTCTTATTAAAGATATCAAACAAAAATAAAAACGCTACGACACAGAAAATATTATCTTCTATATTTTGTTAACTTTTGGTGTACTTGAGGAACAGACAGAGTGGTTACATCCTGTGCTAAACAGTTTTTGCAATCTTACGCATTTGTAAGACGGAGACAAAACATGCGTGGTACTCTTAATAGTAAAATCTTGTTATGCGGTATTTAATGGACATTGTACATGTATTATTATAATTCAATTAATTATTTAATATTATTTAT